TAGTGAACAGGTGTTACTGTACTGTGTTTTTTTTATATTTTAATTCCTACTTTTCAGCACTTTCAATGAGGCATACTAGTTGAAATCATGAATCTAGTAATCACAGCTCTTGACCTTCTTACTGAATCTCTACAATCCTGTTTTATTAGGCTGGTATGCTGGCCCCAGGTACCAGGAGAGACATCTATGATCAGAAGCACATATTACAGCCTGTGGATAACTCAACTATTTCGTTACAAATGGGTACCAACAAAGTGGCTTCACAGAAGGGAATGAGTGTGTATGGGCTTGGACGGCAAGTGTACGACCCCAAGTACTGTGCTGCACCCACAGAACCCGTCATCCACAACGGCAGCCAAGGGACAGGGACGAACGGGTCGGAAATCAGCGATAGCGATTACCAGGCAGAGTACCCGGATGACTACCACGGGGAGTACCAAGATGACTATCAGAGAGATTACCATGGCCAGTACAGTGACCAGGGCATTGATTACTAGCTTTGCATCAAAAGTTCAGTATTAGTTGATTATTTTATTCAGTAAGAACGAAACTAGCCTTGTGGAATTGTTACCTGTCTTTCCTACACACTACGCTTAATGTACCTAAAGAAATACTGCCTTACATACATTCCTTTCTCCTTTCTCTGCCCTTTCCCTGTCTAGTTGCCTTTAGTGCTGTAACAGTTGTAGTCTACAGCATAAACAATAACTGCATATGAAGTAAAAGGAATACTGTGAAAGGGGGAGTGCTCTCATACAGCCAGGTTGTTTCGTAAGGAGCTATGCATTCTCACAATCTCTACTAAGTAGGTTTTTACATACCAAGTTAAGCCTTCATTTTACATATTTACAGCTTTTCTCCGGAGGAGATAAAAGAATCTCATGCTTCAAGTTACATGTGGTCTTTGCCAATTAAATTTAAGATATCTCATTAGTGATTTAATATCATTGCTATGTTTTTAAGGTATTGTTTGCTAATGTTAAGTCCTGCATTAGACATAAGTGTGCATTTGTGATTGTGTATTCATTCCATTATCAACACTGACCAAACTTAGAAATAGTTGTCTTACTAAAAAGGGAGCTTGTACAAAGTCTTGAGCCAACAGAAGTTCCATGATTGATGGTGCATTTGCCTTTTATTGTGCCATAATATATCCATGTAGAAATGCTTTTTTCTTCCTTGAACTGTATTTATTGCCACACTTCTGAAACTGATCCCATTGTATTTTTATAAATAAATATTTTTTTCTTAAAGGTATGTAGAGGATCTTGTCTCATTTGTTACACTACCAGTCTTAGAGATTAGATGTCATAAGAATTACTCCCAGATAAGCATCACTTTTGCCTATTTTAAGGGCAATGTAGAACTCCGTTCTGTTGCAGTTTGGGTTCATTTTTTTCCACGGGATTTAATCTAACTATCTTGTAAAAATCTCTCAGGAATGAGTGTCACTGACTTAATAGGAGAGGAATGTAGATCCTTCACAGCTAGGTTCACTTCCCCTCTTCATGACCGAGGTTATGAGCAGAGATCCTTAGCTGTTTGCTGAATCCCTGCCGTTTTCTCAAGGCAAACAAGGATCACACAGATTTATTGTTGCCTCTGCTTCAGCCTGTTGCCTTTATGCCATCCATCACACAGATTATTGTTGCCTCTGCTTCAGCCTGTTGCCTTTATGGCATCCATCACACAGATTATTGTTGCCTCTGCTTCAGCCTGTTGCCTTTATGCCATCACTTGGAGAACACCAAACACTGTTGCTTTAGATTATGTAAAGACACACACAGCCTGTGCCTGCTGAGTACCTGCAATCCCAGGTACTCAGTTACTGATAGCAGAGCTTTATTCCTAAATGGAGGATGCTTTCTTCCTCAGCATGGAGTGCAGAGAAGCTACACTAACTTACTGGCACTTCTAAAAAGGAGGAAAAAGAGCATGTGTCAACAGGGGCCAATGTTGCAGTTTGTAACTTCTGTAACATAATTCAAGGTTATCTTAAAAATGTTCACTGCAGTTTTAAAGGACTACATTCGCATATTAAATGTTTTACATTTGCAAGTTCTGGATTTATGAAGGATTTTTTCCTCAAGACTGGAAATTGTTTGTGCATGCTCCATTAGTCTCTGTCATCTTTGAATGTGATGTGGTGATCTGACTTTCAGCTGACCTATTTGTTGCATAAGTCTTAAGCTTATTTATTTTACAGAATTTAAATTAGAAAGGCTCTCTAGAGGTCACTGGTCCAAGCCCTGCATCTGAGGCAAGAGTATTATTAGCAACAGCTCTGTTAAGACCTGCTCTTCCTCAATGATTCTCCCCCTTCAAAATAGTAGTTCTTAATTATTTAGAATTGTTATATTGAATACTGAAAAGCAGTTCTACATTCAACAGCAAAAGTTGTTCTGTTTTTATAGTTTGGGTAAAAGCAATCTTTTTCAAAGCCTGACCATGCCCTCCTTTCTTCTGAAGCCAAATCTTAGGCTTTAAACTACATGTCCCTTATGTACTTAAACAGAAGAAACAAAAAACACACAAGCTGTTGTTGGTATGCCTGTTTCATCCACAGAGAGATCCAATGGAATCACAACCGAATTCAGAGTTTGAAGTAGACACTGAGCAAGACCAAAATCAAGCTGCTTTGCATAAAACAATAGGCTACAACACTCAGCCATGTTCTGGTTAGCAGACACCAGTAGTCCCTGTGTCCTATTTTTAAGGAACATAGTTATAAAAGTACCTTTCATTCTGCTGAATCTAATCTTCCGTAGCTGCAGGAAAGATGAGTCCACGCTTACGGGGCTGCATTGCAGGGCAGATGTCCGATTATTGGAAATGGGTTAGCCCAGCCCCAGAAGCAGCAGGAGCTGTGCCTCCCTGTAGCCTCCTTCACAGCTCCTGACTGCAGGACCCTGCAGGGGAAGGCAGCCCTGCCAAGCAAGCACTAAATACCATCAGCTTCTCTAGGAATGCCTTATCCCTCACTCAGGTGGAGGCTCCTGCCACAGAGCAATGCTACAGCTGGAGATGGTTGACACAATTTCCAGAGCAATGGATGTAAGACTGGGAGGTCTTGGGTTGTAAATGAAAGCTATAAAGCTATGCTTTCTGTACAAATGTAATTAAAAGCTATGTATTTGGAAGTATTCTCTAAAAATGTACACAGTTCTCAAAACTTATTTTATAATGTAATTTCTGGACTAATGACGATATAGTATTCCTTAAACAGCATACACTCAAATACAGCTTAACTGGTATTTTTTCAGTACCTTCCTTCTTTAAAAGTTAACCCAGAATTTGTAGGAAATGTATGAATCCTTTCTCCACTCTGGAGTGCAGTGAAGGCAATGACCGTGCATCATAATTGCAATGAGCAGAACCACAGAGTTGTTGAGTGGGAAGGGACCTCTGAGGGTCATCCAGGGATTTTCTGAAAACAAGCCCATACTTAGATAAAAATTTCCCTCCCTTTTTTTCCACCAGAGTTCGAGAGTCAAAGGCCAAAACTTGCAGTGTGAGTACCAAATGCAAACAGGAAAATAACCCTGCATGTGTAATAAGAACTGGGTTTTTTTTAACTTCAAAGCAAACCTCTTATGCTTTGTAAACTGGTAAATATCATGTTTACATTGTGAAGACACTGCTTCTTGGAAGCAATTTTGTCAAACCCATGGCAGAGGAAAAGTTTTCCCCCTTTGTAAGTACCATATCTGCACACTTCTCAGGGTCAGAGAGCTATTGCTTTTTCAGGACTTTTCAGAAGTTCCCACAGCATGCACAAGCTGAGCACAAAAAGTATCCAAGGGTACAGATTTAAATAAGGAGAGGTGGTGAGTCACAGCCAGTATTATCATCCTGCCAGGCAGAAAGTAATTAATCTATTTCTTTCCCTTTTTCATCATTTATCCTATATTCCACAACTTCTTTAAGTGGCTCATATTAAAGTAGACTGAAGTTAATTAAATTACGGATAAAAAGCAAGTATTTCTTAGTATTTCTAGATAACTAGTCTCCTTTCAACAGCAGGAGGCCAGATACAGTATTTAAATGAAATGGATTTCGTATTCAGGCATCAGTGAGCTTTTCTGTACAACATTTCCAAGCTGTGACTAATCAAGGGTTTATCAATCTATTCATTTAGACAGTTCTGAGTCACCTGCAGTGATGTCTCACTTCCTATATTGATACTTTACTGAAATCCCTGGCTGGCATCATTTTCCCACCACAAACCTCTCCTCAAATAAAATTTGAACAAAGAGAATAAAATGTGCCACCAAGTAAAATCTGAAACTACTCCATACTCAGAAGAAGGTGGAGCCTACAAAATGTATTACAGTCAGGATCCAGGTAGAAAGTTTAAACAAGCTTTAAAATTGCTCCCAAGAAAATGCTGGCAGACTGTTACCAAGTTAATTTTTTAAAAAGTGTCTACACTTGTGTTCCTCTTCTGACTTAAGCCCTGACCGCTGCTCCATTTCCTCCATGATGAATTTCACACCCATGTTACTGCTAACATTTCTATAAAGTATTATTTATAGCATTTTTATCTCATGTCTGTCCTGTTATCTCTGTCATCTGCTACTTTGTCAAGCTCTAAATACAGATGCAAATTTTTCTGCTTCATCTTTTCAACTGCAGAAAGAAGGAAGGACTATTCCTCATCTGTCCTTTGGAGAGGAGCTGGACAATTTATGTTACAAACTTGTAAAAACCATTCCCAAAAGAATGTAATTGAAAGACAGACACCTACCTCATAACTGCTAGTTATCTTGACTACAGAGAATTTCTATCAAGGGTAATTTCCATCAGTGAGCTTAGTCTGTTCCTTAATTGGCTGTTCAGATATGCAGAATGAATCAGGACAGTCATCTCAGAGCACCTCCTCTACAAATGTTTCTGCATTTACTGTTCTAGGGATGACTGGCACAGCATTCCAGAGAAACCTGAAAAAATCATGTTAGCTCCATGACCTTTTTGACTTACTAATTTAGTCTGACAACATAGAAATTTACAAAGAGTGAGTTTATTATCAACTTTCAGACCATCACAACAAATGTAGTAATAAAAATCAGATGTGATGACACACAAAATATTTTATTGATACAAAGAGATTGTGTGTCATTTTACCAGTGCAGAAGATACAACAGATTTAGGGAGCTAATACTTTGTCCTGGGCTATTGGTAACCTTTGCTGATATGACTGTTTGTGCTATTGCTGCTCTGCTTCCACACCTCCTGGTGTACTTCACATTCAAGTCTGCAAAGAGAGAAAAAAGAAGTCAAATAATGTGTAGCACTGTTTCTGCATTTAAATGTCGTAAGAGTAAACTGGGAAAACGATTAAAGTTCTTTTGTATCTCAAATCCACAATCTTCTTGCAGGGAATAACACCCACCCAGCCTCTGGTTTCTGTGCTTGGCAAAAAAATTACTGAAGAATGCAATAACAGACCCAAACAATGAAAATATTTAGTACTATCCCTCACTGTGTAATAAACTGGAGGAGCTCTGCCTGTAGCAGAATGGCCACAGAATTGTGTGAGAGGTCACTACAGCCTGGTACCTTTTGAAAGCAGATCAAGAAAAGTCACCAGCACTGGTTACACTTGTGTAAGTAGCTGTGACAGCAGAGGACCTGTAGTACCCAGCAAGTGTGGGTGCCAGAGGAGCTGCTCCTGCAGAATCCTCCTCTAGCAGCCCTAGCCTGGCCCCCACAATGCTTGGGGAAAATCAGACCCTGATTCTGAACTTGCTGGGGCAGCTTCTAGGCTGGGCAATTTGCAGTATTTTTTTAGATGTCTGTGAATGAGTGTTGACTCTGAGGACTTTCCCAAGCCTGGGTGTGGGGAAACACTCCCTTCTGGCATGTCGGCTTTGTTACCCCATCATAAAACAGAATAAATAAACGTATATACTGACAAAATAGGGAGAAAGAGGAGAAGAGAGAAAGAGAAGAGGACTCTAAACTCTGGTCTTAGAGGTCTGGAACTTCAGCATGAAATTAAGCAGCCTACCACTCTTCTGATTTTGATACAGCAGGCAGGTGAAAGACTACCTGAATATTATTTATCTCCCACCCCTCTGGCACTGTCCAAACTTTCTCTTCTTCTGCTGGGCACAATGGGGAATGTGGAAAAAAAGAGACAATAATTATTGGATCCATTTATTTTGCGCTAGCAGAGGGTTTCCTGAGGAGGGAAAGCAATAGAAGAACAGGATACAGGATATACTATCCTGGTTGCTGTGAGATGTCAGGAGGTACGTGATAATCCCTTCTTGGAACACAAAGGCAAACATATTAGCTGGCAGGTAAACACATATCCCACGCTCCTGTCTCACCATAGGTTGGAGCTCTGTCCCATCTTCATTATCCTGGAATGGTCTTGTGTTTCTGTGGTTTTGCCCTTCTGTTAACTTGTTACTCTGACTCACAAAGGTCTGCAAGCAAAAATCAGGGTGAGAGCATTTGTGAAAGGAAACCATTATGCTAATAAAAATACCTGGTGAAGGAAGATCATTAGCCCAGGGCTAAGAAACTCTAGCTGGTTCCTGGCTGGATGACACTGAGTGACACTGCAAGGGACTGCAGAGGCAGCGAAAGTGATGAATGCAACTGAGAAAGAGGAATCAAAATCTCTGTTACAACTCCTACTGCAGGAATGAGGTTTCCAGCTGTATGAAATCCCTCCCCCAGCTCTCCACCCACTGCTGCATATTGTCCTGAGGGCCACAGAGCCTCCCTTCCACCCCCAGGATGTTTGTAACCTGATTGTAACACAGACAAGTCAAATGCCTTCGTGTGTTGGGAAACTCCAAATTCTTGTCTGTGTTAGCAAACTTACTCTTCATCATACAATGAGGAGGAGTTTGGATGTGCTGCCCACAGTTTTTCCATAGAAGGGTATAGAGCCTGTCCTGCTTGGAAGGCTCCTTGTCCCTGTGGGAAATCCTCTCTTCACCCACAGCTCTAGGGCATGGCTAATTACACAGAATTAAGAGCAGAGTTAAAGAGAAACTACCACAAAGTTTGGAAGTGGAGAAAAGAGAGCCTCTGTTTCATGAAGGAAAATTGGCTTAAGAAGTATTTTAGAATCTGGCAAAACAGAGAGGGAAGAACAGAGGTCAAGGCTTCAGAGTTTTCCATTCGGTTTTGTATTCCTAGCCAGGCGATGTGCTTAAGTACTATTCTGAACCACAGCCAAAGAATATATATCTGCTTTCTTCTGTACAAAGGGTTAAGCCTATCTTTAGGCTGGCTTTTTGTTGTGCTGTTATTGTTCTCAACAAAATTCTATGAATATTACGGAAACTCTAACAGCAGCATTAAAAAAATAAATAATAACCAAAACTCCAAAACAGTTCTGACATTGTCCTGAAGAAATCTATCCAGAATATTTGTGTCATATGAGCTACTCTGGCTGCTGGTTATTTTTCTCCATGGATTGCTAAGATTTTCTCTTGTGCAGTTTGTGAAGGAAAAGACAGAAGTGTCAAAAATAGCACAAAAGGAAAAAAAAATCTGCGTCTTCAGATATTCTCTTAATTAGAAAGGGATGGCACATATATATTCAAAGGCTTCAGTTACAGCACTGCATCACTATTAGCTGAGTACTGAGGGTAATACAATACAATAATTACAAGGGTAAAGATGTAGAACAACCTGTCCAGAGGCAGAAGAGTTTAATCAAGAGATAGAAGACAATGTTTTGGCAAAAGAATCTGTAAAGGTATGAAGCAGAGCAACTCAGATTTGCATGAAATATGTCCAGAACTACAGCATCTGTAGGATGTGGAGTGGATCCCTGACCTGCTACTTGTTAATTTTTTCTCATCAGTGTACAGTGAGTCACAAGAAATATAAGCATTAATCTTAGGGCACCCCATGGATCAATTTCTGCAGCTAGCTTATCTATTTATTTATATCTTCTAATTACCAACGATATATTGAAGATATATCTAATTAGGCCTAGAGAGTCAACCATTACTTACTGAATATGATCTAAAAGAAGGCAGCAAGTCATAGCTAACACACAGGAGTCAGAGGGACCCATTTACTTCAGTTTATGAATTAATGTACTTGAATCCCTGAGTCCATCCTGTTCTAAGGTGTTGGAAAGGAAATAGCATGGGTTGTGAGTTCAGATTACTAGGTCTTAGGGAAAGAAAAAGTGCTTAAAAGCTTAGAATGTCTCAAATATCTTTGCTGTAATCAGTGGGATTTACCAGCAGCTCCTGATCCACAAAGTATGGCTTCTCTGCAGTTCCATCATTTGTTTCCATATCAATAGCAAAGCAAAGGAACATGGCATCTGCTGTCACTTCAAACACAGACAGAAGGCTGTGGGACATCAGGTAGGCAAAAAATCCAACTAGCAACAGAGGAACCACCCAAGCTTGCAACTGCCGGTGGTAGTTAAATGCCATCAATCCCCCAAAAACAGTGAAGCACACAACAAACACCTGTACAGGGCAGCAAGAGAGAAGTGCAGCCTCATTAGTCATGCAGAAATGTTTCTCATAAAAAAAACCCAATCCCCCCCAAACGCTGAGGCAAATACATTACAGCCAGTATTTTAAGAGCACATGTCATCTGGGAGATAGCTAAGCAATTTCCAGCATCACATGGCTGTGGCACTTTGTGTTCAATTCCATGTGTAAGTACCAGAGGGCAGAGGAAACCTCTTGCCACGTATTTACCAAAGACTTGATGCAATTGGAACTGCCAGAGTGGGTCCAAGGACACTGCTATCATACAATAAAATAACTCTGCAAAGATAAATTCCTCAGATATTCTTCTCTCCCAAACTTATTGTATAGCATTGACAACACTGGATTTAACAAAGATAAACTTTATTTAATTTAGGTATATGAAAAGATAATCAAACCTGATTTTTCACTTCATTTTTACAGAACCAATATTTTAATTTACTCTTACCTTTCCTAAAAATAGGAGAAAATCTCCAAAGCAGCTAATGGATGCAAGTTTAGCAGAATTCCTTGCCAAAATACAGGCAGCATCCTTTGCTGATGTACAAAAATTTGTCCCATTTATGGCTGTAGTTGTGTATGCATGCTGAAATGACATAAGATAATAATGCAGTGAGAGAGGAAACACTGATAATCTAGATTTTACTTCAGCAAAACACAAAGCCTTAAACTCTATTTGGAATTACTGACTTTATGAATATAAAGAGTTACCTATTTTAAATTACTATAATAGTCATGCTTCTAAATTCAAAGAGTTTTTCTACATAATTTCCACCATTAGCAAATGTTACAATAGTGACTAAATAAATTACTGAAGCCACATTTATCCAGTTTCTTTTGAAACACCGAAGATCTTGACCCCAGAATTTGTGAATGAATATGACACAATTACCAGAGAACACCTGGAGTCACGCTGTCCAAACTTACTGGCTACAACAGTAACTCCAACACTGCTGGCCAACTGTGTAAGTGGAAAAATGAAGTTATGTATTTACTGGGTCATTAAAGGTTGATGATTAAAATTTTTTATATGTGGCTCTTTCAAACACTTCAGTGAAATTCAAGCTTATAGTCATAGCCATTGAACAAACCTTTTTGTGAAGGGTTCTGGACCAGACCGGTGCCTGTATCATGTGCCCCACCCCACTCAGAACAACAGATAATTGGGGCACTACCAGTTTTTCAATGTATTGAGAATTTTACATTTTATTGCTTGGTGGAAACTTGCCTGGATAGGTAGGGAGGATAGAACATTTACCTTCATGGATTTGATTATTTTTGCACTTATGCATAAATTAACATGTATATTCCTTTCATGGAACTCCTCAGCAAGGTTTTGAAATTATGTCCAAAATATCAGCTAAGAAAAGTAGCACTCATGATACATGAAACATGTTCTTGGCTTTACCAGCAATTCTTATGTATAGTTTCCCTTTACTCAAACTATTAGAAGGCAGATTACACCACAAAAACTTTAGTCACATCTGATATGGTCAGTTAGAGCTGCAGTGTGCAAGGGATTACTGTTCTAAAGGAATTTATAAAGGCAAACATGTACGTGGTGCTTATATTGCTTTCTGCTTCACCTGGAAGTGAAAAAATAAACAGCCCATAAGGGGTTTGCTGAAAGTGAATTATACTGGCCTACTGAAAACCCTTCCTGTTCAAAAATCTGTCTTTTCTTACTTACAATTCAAAATATTAAACAATTTCAGCTACCTGAAGCAAGGAAAATTTATTTCTGTAGAGTTCAGTTTCACCTCTGAGCAATTTCTGTTGCATGGCAAAGCTATGACATTGTCTGAGAGAAGGAAGGAAGGAAAGGAAGGAAAGGAAGGGAGGAAGACAGGCAGGAGGGCAGGCAGGAAGGAAGGAAGGAAGGTAGGTAGGTTAAATGCAAAAAAGAGTTTCTGCCTCTTTATTGTGGATATTATTTATATAAAAACATAGTGATTTTTCCTCTGATAGTAAAGAAAAAACCATTGACATTCTGTAAATACTGTAGTTACATATTAGAAAATCCATCCATAGATGGAAAAAGTATAAATAAAGACCATGGATCTATTGCCCATTCTATGAAAACATCAGAGACACCAGTGAACTCTACAGAACTCAAAGAGTATCTGCATAAAAATATGTTTAAACAAGCAAGCTCACTTCATTCCTAAATAGGAAAATGCCTTCTTTGCTAACTTTCATTTATCCTGAGGGTGTTCCCCTCCTGGCAGGATGCCGTCACAGCAGAACTCCCAGGATGTGGCAGCAGGGGAGCTGCCAGTGCAGCCCTGCTGGGCCAGGGCACGGGCAGAGATGGCCTCGGTCACAGTGCCTCTGTCTGCCACCCAGAGCTGTCACTGCGGATTTCAGACATGGACAGACTGCTCTTTAGAACATGCTGGGAGTTCAGTCTCTTTCATCATTCCCATTGAACACACAGGGAACTGAGACACAAAGTAGAAAAGTGTTTTCTAAGTTTGTTTTTGTTCCTTAAGATCTAAATTCACAGGGCAGATCCTGATCTGGTGAGGTCAGTATAAATTTTGCCAATAAATTAAACAGAGATTCTGTATTCATTATAAATTGCAAAAAATGTGTTTTAAAAATAAAAAAGAATGTTGAAAAAGCACGTGAGCTTGTACAAACATTGTTTCCAAACTTAAAATAAATACTCATTTGTTTGCACTCTTGAAATAGCCACTTTGGTATTCAAAGAATGTGCAATGAAAAGAATTTCTGATATTTATTAACTAGAATGGTTACCTTGAAAAGACTAAAAATGACGCTGGAGACAGTACACTACCTGAACAGGCATTTGTTGTGTTACAAACCAGCTAATGAAACATGGCATTTATAGCAGTTACAACTTAAACAAATAATCTAAGTATTACCTAATGATGACACTCAAGAAATAAAGGCAGTCAGGTAATAATCTAACATTCTAGAATGAATAGGAGGCAGAAATTAATGAACTGCTGAAAGCTACAAAACTAGTCAGACATATGTGAAGCAAGAATATTACCAGCACAATTGGAAAACTCAGCCAAGTGATCTCTACCTTTTAGCAAAAAATACATTTCTGAGAAAAAAAAATATTTGAAGGGTTTCTTGTTCAACCTAGAATCTCTTTCCATACACTTGCCTCACAATTTTCAAGTTTCTCATACAGACCCATGCCCTGATCCCATCCAGCCACATAGAAATCTACATGTTCTCATTAACAGAACACGTCAAACATTTAAGCTAACGTACATTTCCATGCAATTCAGCATTGCACAAAAATGAGCTCAAGTGGTTTTTTGTTCTTACTCATCAACGAACACCTAACACATACAAGTTATTACCTATATTTGCAAATAATTTTTGGCAAAGGAATTATATATAAAAATCTTATATATCCCATTAAGTTTAAAATTGCAGGATATGTGCAATAATCCAAAGCCTTTCAAATTAAAGATTGTAGCAAAGGCTAAGATGGTAGACCATGGCAGTTAAGAACCTGCTAACATTTAGAAACAGGTTATTTAAATATGTATTTCTACAGAATATATTTTTCCATGCACAAAAACTTTAGAGGGTTTGAAAATGTTTGGGAGAAGGGCAGCAGGAATGATCCAAAAGGCATGGAATGTCTTCTGTCTGGGGAACGTGAGGCTCTTCTGTCTGGAAAAGACATGACTGAAGGAGGATGCAGCAGGAGGCTCATGCTGCCGGCTCATGAGAAATGCAGGGAGGCTGTGTAGGCTTAGATGGCTCACTGCCTCTTCCAGAACAAAGGCCAGGCAGGGGCAGGACAGTATGAAGTATTAGGAGCCAAATTTGAAAACAGACAGTATTCCTTCTCACCATAAATCTGCAAACTGTGCACTGCTGGGCGAAGGATGCTTTAGCTTCTAAAAGTTCACAGGAGCTCAATGGAGATGGGGAATTTCAGGGAAAAGGAATCTGCTGAGAGTTATTAAACACACAGAAAACACACAGCTCAAGAAATCCCTCGGTTGAAAACAGATTCTGAAACAGCACAGAGGCAGGGAAATATCCTTTTGTTCTATCTTAGCATTTGCTCACAGTCATTGCTGAAGATGGGATACTGAGCTAGAAAGAGATTCAGTCTGATCTTATATACACGTTATAACTCTTATATTTTTATCTTTGCCTAATAAATTGATCTTTTACAATAGTAGTCTCTGCTCTGTGACAAGCAAGTAATGGTGGCATTGATAGCATTGAAAGCACAGGGGATAGTGGACTGGGATCAGCATTTATCCTTCCACCAGCAAGCTGATCTCATATCACCTCCTCTCTGAAGAACACAAGCCTCTTCTGGCTTGGGGCCTGGGAACTAGACACTGACTTCTCAGTGTCAGGATGAATAAATAGGGAATGTGAATGTTTACATATTTCCAAATACCACAGTATGCAAAAAAAAATCTATTTAAAGAATATATCCTTCTGTGCCTCACAACACAGAATGTCAAAGGTCTCGGAAAAAGTGACCTGGGAGTTTCATGAGAAAGGCACTGTGGCTCAGATCCAGACTGTAAGTTCTCCAATTGTTGAGAATAATTGCTACTTTGTGTAACAGCTGAATTCAGTCCTCCATTCTAGGGCTTGCTTTCATAAAATGAGCTTGGGGAAGAGAAAATTGCCATAGCAACAGAATCTTCTTAAAAAGGAAGAAGGAGACATGCTGATCTCTCATCCCAGTTCAGCTTTTTCTGCTCTGCTGATGTTTTCAGCCCAATCTGATTTTATTGCTGCCAGCTCTCGTGGGGGCTGCCCTGGTCCGCTACCCACAGTGCAGTGCAGTGCTCGGGCTGGACCTTAAAGTGCCTCAGCCTGCAAGTGTCACTGATGCCAATGGAAGCCCTTCAGAAAACAAAATCCAGGGGTAGCAGGAGGCAATGAGTGTGGCTGCTGTCAGCAGTTAGTGGTCTGCTGGGAGAGTTGTATCATGACTCTCAGATGGTGGGAAATGAGAGCAAGATGGGCCTTGTGAGGCCCCACTGAAGAAATGAGGTCATACAAGACTGGAAGGGACTTTCAGCCACTCCAGTGCCTATTTCAGATTAGCATATTACACAAATCTTCTCCTAAGTGGAAAACCCCTTCTTTAAATCACTTGGGACTTCCCCTCTCACAGGCCTCACATGTGGAGCTGTTCCAGACAGTTGTCCTGCTGGTCCTTAGGAACCTTCCAACTTCCAGATGACATTTATTCATGAACAATTTATATCTACTCTGCTCTATTTTTCTGCTGATCTTGTCAGGCTTTTAGCCTTCCCTGCTGTCTCATAGATGGCTAATGGGCTTGCTCTTACCCTTCATTTGCCACAGGATATTCCAGTCCCCTCCATGAAATAAGCCTGAGCACATAAGCAGCAACTTGTACAGTGGCATTTATCCCCTTCTTTCCAGTGCAAGTGTTTCATCTCATAGCTTACAGACTGACTCTGTGCTTCCTGAAGCCTTGTTAAAAAAAGGCTATTGTCCAGTGGCTGACAAACACATGGAGAATATTTTTCTCCTCCACTTCCAATCAATAAGCACACAGCTAATACAGAATTGGTTATTTTTTTGTTCTTCGGCTAATTACTATCTGTAAGAAGCTTCCTGAATTTTTCCAAGCAGTCCAAAAAGCACAACTTTAATTTATTTCCATTTCATCTTATATTTTCATCTGGACTTACTGGAGAAAATTTTCAGGTTTCCTTGCTTCCTACTCTCTGTGTTATCTACTCCCTCCATGGCAGTCATCCAGTGGGTAGGACCAACACAGCATTTTTCTCAGAGGGTAGTTGGGTGTCCTTTCCTGCTGCATCACAGTAATACATGTGGGCTCCATTTCCATGACAGGGTTGGAGCAAAAGGATCCTGCTTTATGTGCCCATTGCATGATGATTACACCATTACTGAGGTTGCTTTCAGGGCTTCTGCACTTAGTGAGAAAATGTTCTTATTTGGGATTTCTGAAATAAATCAAACTGAAGATTTCCAGAGAGTTGTTCACAAATTTCTCTGCTTAAAAGCACAGAATTACCTGTCACTTGTTTAATTGCCTTTTATTTTCTCCTTCTCTCTCTTTTTCCCCCTTCTGTTTCTTCTTAATGGGATAGGGAAGAAGAAATGTAGCAAAGTAAGAATTAGTCACCTTTGTTCAACTCTATTCCCTACATGGTTCATCCTACAGAACGAGTTAGGACCTAAAGATTTTTGTTTCCTATTATCATGTACATAAAGTCTGTAGAGGGGAGATAAACTTATATAAAATATTATTTCAGTGTAGAAGAACATTTTATCCTTGTACTTTCAAGAGGATTGAAAAATTAGCTCTATATCTAGAAGCAATATTGCCAGTAACATTAAAATGCATTATTGCTTTTGGGAGCAAAAAGAAGTACTTGATGGGGTGAGGCACAACGTGTTTGGCATGGAGAGAACTGTGCTTTAAAATAGCATGCATGAATTTTGGTTTTATCTAGGTGAATTCTCCACAAGGCACTTAACTGAAACCTCCTGATAGGCTTCCATCCAAAGTTTAAGAGACAACGAACTGCTATGGATATAGAGCCATTAGACAGACTTGCTTTTGGTTTATTACACTGGACATTTGCTGGCTTTCAGTGCCCAGGAAGGGTCTCTGTCCCAGGAAATGGGGCTCACACCCTGCTGAATTCCCTGACAGCCCAGAAGGCTGCAGCACTGCAGCAGCCATGCTGATGAACACAGAAACCACACCCTGCTCAGCAACCCCTTCAGAAACCCAGGCACTGTACTTTGGAGGAGTCACTTTGCCAACTGGCTGCAGATGGACCCAAAGCAGACACAGAAAAGCAAAACTATCCAGCTGTATTGTTTTTAAAAAGTCACTGCAGCAAGGCTGTAAAGGGAGAACATGTGAACACGTCAATGTTTCTAAAGTTAAGACTGCCATTACAACTTAAGAAAGCAGGAGAGACACAGACCTCATCATTCCCAAATCACATTAAAAGCCAGTATATTCTTTTTACAGAAGAAAAATTTCTGTCTCCTAGATTTTACTTGAGATGATTGGATATGTTTATCTGGAACATACTGAAACCATCAGAGCCAGATAAAAAATCTGTGGTAATTCTGACAAGTGTTGGCAAGCAGAACTGTCAAGTAAGGATAGTGACTTTATATTCAGAAGGCACTTTTCAGCCACAGAACCCTGAGTGCTTTACAATTGTTGCTAATGGATTATACACACACATGAATCACTTTGCCCATGACTGAAGTGGAACAGCTTAAGGAGTGAACTGTTTTACAGCACATAGCAACACTACACCACAGTTTAGCACAGGATCCAGTTGCAAATCCAAGAGAAATTTAGGAAGGCTGAATGTAATTGTCCACATTGCAATCTGCACAGGACACTGGGCTTACATTATGCCCCCTGCAAATATGACGATAGCCAGCATCTAGCACAGCACTCTGTCGTGATGGGAAGATGAGAGGGTAACTCTTTGGCTTGTTCCACTTAACCTCTAGGAGATCTGAGCAAAACCTAACTGAGCCTGCAGAGAATGAGTCACTTCAGGGATGCATGCAACTATTACAGTCAGAATTAAATATCATCACATGCAGGGTGGTACTGCAGCCCGGAAAGTACCTTTAGATAACATAATAGAGCACTTGGTTGATTCTGCATGGGAAGAAAGAAGTTTGCATTCTTTCACCAGGGTTACTTTCTCCAGCACCTGTTTCTCATCTGCCAAGTTCTCAGAGGGAAAACAAAGTACTGTTTAATCCTGATTAAACTTGTGAATGAAGGAACAGAAAGTATTCAAATTACCTAAGCAGTTTAACAACAGGTTGAAGAAAATAGTGCAGAAGTGATTGGATCTTCTATTTTATTTTTTTTAGAGCTTCAGGTAATTATATGCTCTTCATTAAAGTGAAAATAGTGCTAGAATAAAAAGCAAAAGAATAGTAAATAGGAAGGAATGCTAATGTACACAATGATCTTTGGACCAACTTTTACAACAGCTGTTCCACATTTAAGGTTACAAAAATATCAAAATCTGAACTTCAAGAATACTTCTTTAAGAAAATGTTAGAAACACAGGTACAATTTTTTAACCCCTCCCTCCGAGACTACTCTCAGGTCTGTGTTCAACATACGTGGGGAATCTCTACCTTGCTCCTGGCAGCTTCCACCAATCTCAGTAGGAGCTTCTAAGAGCTCACTATTTCTGTTAATCAAGAAATATGTCAAAGCTGCTTAAAACTGCTAACATTTTTTCCTTCTTTTTTTTTTTTTCTCTTCTACACATGGCCACAGATTTTACAGAACCAAAGACTAATCAATGGCTTTCAATCATGGTAACATTTTTTTTTAAATAAATAGCCTTGAACAGATTAGTTATAGGGGAAAAAATGAAACAAATAATTATATCCACAAATTACTAAATGAGATGCAGTAATTCAAGACCAATGTTTAAATTTCGTACAGATAGAAGTTCTATTAAAATCTTGAGGCCTGTTCTTGCTTTTTTTTTTTCTAATTATTGCCCAAATTTCCCTGGATTTGAAACATGTGGACAACCATCACCTTTGCTAAAAATATATTCAAAAAACAAAACAAAAGTGAACACTTTATTATGATCATTAGATTAAAAACCACAACTCACATAAAACCAGAAATCTGCCAACAATAGAATAGGAAACAGGAAATCTTTAAAGGGGAAAAGAGCTACAATACAGCTTTCTGAAACAAAAGGAAGAACATTATAGTAATTAATTCTTTTAACAGACACATAGCAGACAACAGCTGGAGAAAGTAAACACTAGGATGCTGGATATCTCTTTGAAAGGCAGGAAGCCAAGCCAAGGGGAAAGGGTGACTACAAATGGAAAGCCTGGAGGCAAAATGAACTCTGATATTCCTCACCAAGTCACTGACTATAAGACCTACCTAGAAAATGTAAACCTGGAAAATTCAGAAATTTCACTGCAGAAGTATTTAATCTATGGTGAACTAAACTGAAAACTCTCTTAACAACTGTCCAAGACTAAACCTAATTTATGCACCCACTTAAGAGAAGTCAGACCCTTTATCAGGATTGTCTTGTTTACTTCACCACTACCCTCAGCAATGAGAACAAAGAGCTCAGCATTCAGAGGGTGGAATCAGCATGAACATATGATTCCCTTTCACATTAGGAATATCACAGGTCCCAGAGATAAAAACAAGGCAATGACAACGACAAAAACTAACTATTTACAATTATATATGTAAATATGGACTGGATTTGGAGAAATGAATTGTGAAGGTAAAAAGAGGTGTCGAGTATCTGTAAAACTACTGTATGTCAGAAATCATCCATTTCCAATTAAAACATGTTTTAAACTAGACTGCTATCATCATGGTTTGTATTTCCAGATCTCCTGATACTGGCAATCACTAGGAATTTAAGTTTCTTTATTCAGGACTTCCAGATGGAAAACACTGTAACTAGTTAATGCCATATTCCAGGTATATTTCCTAATTCTTCATTGCTTCCTCCTACCTGGACTCTCTGTGCTTCATAAGTCTGTCTGGCACAACTCAACAAAATGTTAAGTATTCTTACCTCCAGAAACAGCAAGTGGCCCTCTGAAAGGGCTGACTATCTCAAGCTGTATTAACAAGTTTTCTAAAACCTAGCACCTTGCATATTTGTAAATTCCCTGTTTCTTCACACCAAGCACTCGGAGGCTTTTTTGTTTCGTTAACTTAGGCGGCCAGCAGGAAACTCTGGCCTGCACCCAGGCTGAGCCACTTTTAGCCATGCTAAGGGTCAGGCACCAACCATGGTATCCAGAGTAGGCTGAGGGACTGAGATGACAGAGCATACCTGGTTAAAGTATCTTAAGCAACTTTTTGGGAAGCAAACCCAGCAGGAACAGCAGTCAAACAGGTGCTTTGCATTCTTCTGCAATAAATGAAATGATTGGTTATTGGACACATAATTAGCCTCAAACAAAACCAATGTTCTAAAAAAACCCCTTGTTTTACAGGTGACTGACTCTTCTAATAAAATTTTCACTTAGGCAGCAGATACTTCCATTAGGATTTTAGGAACAGCTTTTAATTCAGACTGTTCAATATTAATGACTGCAGAGTTGTGCTTTTTTTTTTTTCTTCCTGTGGATGGAAGATTCTTCTCTGGGAAAAGAAAATATGTGCTGCAAGCAGCTTTGTGAGCTAACAGCTGCCTGGGGAGAAAAACAGGCAGGCAAGTCAGTAATCCTTAAAGCACTTCACAGTGATCAGGGAGTACAGAGACAGATTTTTAACCTGATTATCAAAAACCTTCCACAGTTCTGAAATGACTGGTACTGTACTGAACAAAAATAAAAGAATGGGTAGAAGGGCTTATATGAACATCCATGTGTTTTGACTCAGAGCATTACATTCATTTTTCACATCAGGAAGAAAAATCTTGTATTAGAACAGGCTCTTCATAGACCACTGAGCTGTATTAATTTCATAGCAAAAACTGAGCAGTAAAGCTTAAGGCTGTTCCATGATCCCCCATCACATCATGAGCTCAGAACAGCTCATCATGGAGATGATGCAAGATGAGAACAAGACACCTTGGTATCCAGAATTCCCTTCCAAAATTAAGTGCCTGTTTTTCTTAACAAAAGGAAATCCAGTTCAGGACACTCAGTCTTTTTAATCTTATTTTTTCCAAAGGTCAGAATGTTTTTATCTTGTTTTGGAAAGCAGAGATCTTCCAGTCGCTATAGAAAACTCAAGTCCCAACAGCTACTATTGTTCAAGCAAAAACCACAAACCTCCCAACTTTTCCAAAAAGGTTCATGAAAATATTCCAGAAATAACTCCTTCAAAACTGTGACTGTACATGCAAACTCCTGACAGAGAACAATTTAATCTTGCTATGTATTGCTGGAGAGATGATTTTAGTGAAGCTGTGTTATCTCAGTAAGGACTGTTTGTTAAAAGCCTAGAGCAAGGGATCTCACCTACAATCTCCTCTCTGATTCTGCTTGGAGACTGCTGTGTAGAAAAATCTGTAAATTTACCTGCAAGCTCACAGGCCCCTGACTTCTCCTCTGTTCACAGAGAACAGCAACGTTTTTTGCAAGGGTGGGGAAGTCTGTGTCTTTATACAATGTTCTTTAGTTAACACAACTCACAAAGTTTTATAACCACAACTTCCATATGAAAGCAACATAAATCCAGACCACACCTTTCAAGTGTTTTATGACAAGGAGTTTTTATTTAAGCCTTCATAACCTATAGCCAACACATGCCTCATAGTAAATACATTGTCACTGTAAACGTAAACACCCTGTCATAACTATACATAACATGCTTCAAGGCCAATGTAAACCCTAGAGGAACAGACCTACATTAAAATCTTTTCTTAAATCTTCTCCTAAAATCAGAACTGTGCATTCCTAACAGTCCTCCCTCCTTGCAAAAGTGCCAGAATTACCTACAGTGCTGTGCTTCCAGCAGAAGATAATAGATGTGGAGATGAATGAAAGGAAAAAAGAAGGTAAAAAATATTCAAAACAGTCCAGATCTATGCTTTATGTGTCTCAGAAGATGTGTCTTGGATACTACAACTCCCAGGAACAGTTCTTATTCCATATATTCTCTCTATAGAAGCATATTACAAGGCAGGTGAAGTATTTTCTACAACAGATTTTAAATCTAACAATAGTATTCTTACTCCTGCTCCTTAAAAATGAATGCAAAAAGTTTTAATAGAGCAGTCTGCCAATTTTTTCTTTATCCTTCAGAAAAACCTTTGTATAAAAACAATGAAGGTGAGTTTCATATTGGTATTTTCTGCTTTTTTATTATCAGATTTGAGAATAAGAAGGAAGTATTGATATCTGAGTTGGGAGAAAAAAAGCTTTCCGAATGAAGAAAACATGATAAAATAGAAAATCCATCTATTAATAATAGACAGTAATAGCAATACCATATATTTTTAAGCAGGAAATATATTCTTCACTTCTTTGCCCCATGATCTCATCTTTAACCCTCTATTTTTATAGTGTTACAGAAGCATTGACCTACCTTTTGGTTTAGGATATTGCAAAGGTACAAGAGAACAATCCTTGGTATTCTGAGTAGTGTGATTAGAAATGAGCCTTTTACAGCAGTTCCTAGATGGTAGCAGAAAAGAACTGATATGGATGACAGGACTGGGTGAGGTGGTGGGTTATTTTTATTTCTAGAAAGAGAAACAAACAATTTTTAAAATGCTTTAGCAACTTATTTAAGAAGATAAGCACTGCTTATATTTTCAGTATTTGGAAATTTTAAGAATAAAGCTGTTACCTCCTTTCCTAATTGAACTACTCCAGTCTTTCTACTGACTTCATCTGAATGTTCACCTTAGTCCAAAGAAAAACAGCCAAATTTATAACTTCTGGGTTAGTTTAATTCTTAAGAAATTACTATTTTCTGGAATGGAAAAATGTCTAGGAAAAAACTACAATGAAAAATAGGAGAAGTGAACAATATCTGAGAATACTCCTTGAACACCTCTTTCCAGTTTCTGTCACTTCTCTTATTCTCTGCAATCTTTTATCTAACCCTTGGTTCTGCAAGATTTTCGTCTGAGGGAATGAATCCACTATTTCTTCTTTAGTGGTAAAATTAAAACTAGAAAACAAAATCACAAGTTCTCACATATAAAATTGAGAGTTACTATCTACTTTTATAATTGCAATTTGACCAAATTTGGTTTAAAATTTTTAAAAAATATTATTTTTTTTTCCCCAAAAAAGAGGAGAGGCTTTTAAAAAAAATTGAATACCACAAAAAAGCAGTATCACACTATATGTTTAGAATTATAATCTGAACTAAAAAAACCCTTGTAGTTCTAGTGCACACTAACCTGTATTGTTTTGGAGAAATAATGCCTGCCAAAATCAGAAAGCAGAGCCAATAAATGGCCTAAATACAAGTTTTATTACTTTGCTTCCTTTATAAAAATCAGTTTAATGTCAGTCATTTACAGACAGTAATATGACACAGCTCTCAAGAATTTATATAAACCTCAGGAAATCAACTTAAAGAGATTCCCTTACCCCTTGTCAAACACTTAAAAAATAATCAACTAGATTAAACCTCTAAGAACAGTTAAAAATATTTCATAGGATAAAAAAACCCACATACGGATCAATAGTCATAATTAGACCTTCCATAAGTAACTCTTAAGCAACTGGCCCAACCCTGAAATATTTAGTTAGGCACCAGAACCAGCAGCAGTTTGACTAAGTAGCTACATAAAGATCAGACATAATATCACACATAAGAAGCTCTGTTTTCAGAATTGATTTATTCAAAACCTCTGTTATCTTGAAAAATCAGTAGTTTGCACAAGAAATTCAAATATAAAAAGACACCAATAAGAGAATGACTGCTTTGGGCTAAGAAGCTCTAAAATTATAATTTTAATAAATCCTCGCTTCAGCAAGGAATATCATACACACTTTATTCAGGAGTGGGATTATAATGCTGCAAGAATCCTGAAGGTATCACTGCAGTTCACTAAAACACAAAAAACTTTGCAGTGGAAAAGTTGTATTTAAATATGTGAATATACCACATTATTTGACATAGGAAATTCCAGCAAAGCAGTTGCTACATTTATTATTTTTGTCTTAAAACCAGGGGAACAGCTTGGGGGATAGTGGAATTTTATACTGAATACAGCAGTTTGGGGTTTTTTTAGAGTCATCAGGTTTCTGTGTTAGAAACACATGCATTGTAGTGTGGATGAATTATTCTATTCATATTGAGCCATTGCTTTTTTCTCCCTAAAACAGTTCCTTACTTATGACAGTGTTAGTTTGATCTCAGAATACAAATTATTAAGTTTCTGCAAGTTAAAGGCTAACTAGTGATAAGAAACACAGAAAGAAAAAAATTTGTCCCTGTGTTAATAATGTACTTGTTACTGAAGAGAAAAATGAAGAAGGTTTTTGATATTTTTAACATGACTAAATAATGAAAAAGAATGTAAAAAACAACAACAACAACAAAAAAAACCCACAAAAACAAAAAACCCCAACAATTAAAGCTTGTTTAGTTAGTTTAGACAAATTTTTACATATTTGGATGTTTTTCCACAGCTCCTTTTCCTAGCAAAGGAACTTGCACAAGAACAGGGTCTGACCAGGATTTTGCTTTGCCTCCAAACAGACTGGAAAAAGAACAGATTTTCCTTGTAATTCTGGTTCATGGTAGGAAACAGGGAAGCGGCTAAACACAGCAACAGGTGATGGTTATGTCTGTAAACAAGCTCAAGACTGGCTCCAACCTACTCCCATTGCTCCCAAGGCTGAAGCTTCACCCACCTTTGTGCATGATGTGGCTGCAATCCTGAGGGGGCTTTAGCACAAGCAAGCACTCATTATGCAGTGGATTCTGTGCATGTGCACTCATCTGCCTGTGCACAAGGTATCAGGGAAATCTGGGAATCCGCCCGACTGGTTATATAGAATAGAGCCACAGCTTGCTTTTCTTCTTTGCTATTTCTGTTTTATGTTATCATGAGATTGTTTGATTTACATAAAACACTACTATTCCAAACTCCTGTGGACCTGTCTTCAATACATTATCTTTTAATAATTTTATTTCTTCACTACTGCCAATTGCCTTAATTTACTTGTGAGCTCTGTGACACAGTGTCTTTCTTTAAGCTCCTTGAATCAAACGATCACACATGTATCTTTACTTTCATTTGAAAGACATTTTTTGTGAGAGGAAAAACATGTCATCTTGACACATCCAACAGACACGGATATTTAAATGGGAGAAAAGTGTATTTCTTCAGTTCTTTAAAATTCTCTTAAGAGCTATGCTTTCAGATTTCTTCACTTATGTCTCACCAATTCCAAAGACTGTGTAAAAATAACTTCAGTATAAAATACTTCAGAAATGTTAAGGAATGGATCTTCTATTCCTCAAATAAATATGAATCTCAATTTTTAAACAAACACAAAAAATTACAAGATTTGTAATAAAACAGACATGATGAGACTAACAGAGACCACACAGACTGTACTGCACTTTTACCTTATCTCAAAGCCACATTGGCACAGGTCTGACCACATACATGATGGTGGCTCTTTTAGGTCGTGTGTAAGTAGGGCAAAGGATGGCCATAAATATTGCAGATAAATTTGAAGAGGAAGCCTTTAAAAGTTTGTTCTAGTTCATCTCTCAATGACTTTGCTGCAACATCCATAAACCTTCATTTTTGACTTACTGAGACAGATGTATGTATGTATGACAGATGTATTTCACTTCTCTTGGAAACTGTGGTACTCAACCATTTAGTCAGGTAGATAAACCCAATCCTTAATTTCAAATCTGTGCAGTGATACATGTGATTTCAAATCTGTGCAGTGATATATGTGCACTGAAGCTACCAAAGAAGCTCAGACATGGACAGAACTGCGATGCCTGTGATGGACTGAGTTACCATATCACCTTCTCTTACTCCCAGAGAGGGGGAAAGGCTCATCTCCCTGCCAAGGTAAATAGATACATAACACCTAAGCACATCAAGGTGAGAATAAACCCTCATGTAAAACACCAATTATAACAAAGAAGGCTTTTAAAACGACCAAGCCCTTTCCACAAGTTGTAAAATGTAATCATTTAACGAGGAAATCTACTTATTTTTATTAAATTAATTCAATCTTTTGTGTATTCATACTTAAACTAAAATAAAAGAAGGCCAAATCCATTTTCAGTCGTGGTATTACAGGCCAAATAAACATCTCCTGTAAAGCCAACCCAGGTGGAACGATCCCCTGCCCACCCCATTTGCAACTCAGCCATGGCTGCTGGCCGTGCAGCGTGTTGCTGAGCGTGCTGTAGAGGGAGATTTCCGCATGGGAAGGCCGTGCCATTTCCTCAGAGCATTCACAGGACAAGAAGAAAGCCTGTCCGTAAGATCCTATAAACAAACTCTTGTGACATGCCTTTATGATGCAGCCCCAGGGAATACATTAAAAACACACAGCAGTCAAGCTCAGAGTTGCTGGAACAGCTCAAGATAACCCTTGCCCTTGCTGGTGTGGCTGCTCCTGCAGCCAACCACCCTCTCCCCATTCCTGCACTGCTCCGCATCTCCCATTCCTGCACTGCTCTGCCTCTCCCCGTTCCTGCACCGCTCTGCCTCTCCCCGTTCCCGCACTGCTCCACATCTCCCCGTTCCTGCACCGCTCTGCATCTCCCTGACAGCATAAAGGCTGGGACAAGGGATTACCACCACAGAAAAGTTACATTTCCCCTTGCAAACACAACCCTCTCAACACAGTACAGGTCACCTGGCAAACAAGAGGAGAGCTTAATGGTATTGTACAAAATGATACCAACACAATTGGGAGCAGGAACCTTCTGTACTTGGCAGCCAGTTCCTGCAGCAGCAAAAATAGCTGGAAAGCGGAAGCCCCTAGCAGAGCAGTAAATGTCATCACAGCAGTTTCTACAGGTGCTTCCCTGCTCTGCACCAACAAGATATGGACAGTGTCTTTGCCTTGGGGATTTATGTGGTGTATTGCACCAAAAATGTGGTGTATTGACCAAAATGCAATGGTCAAACTGTCCACGAATACATGAAATTACCAAGGAACAATATACTGCTTCTCATTTGGAGCTAAAGCAGTCTCCTGGAAAAGGGTGCAGTGCAGCCTGTGCCTTCCTTCCAAATGGTAATTCCCCCACAGCCAACAGAGCTCCAATACCAAGGCCCAGTTTGGCCCAGCATCTCCAGCAGCAGGGGTGAGTCACATTATACCATGCAAATTGTAAAATCTTAAGTAAGATCTTACAACAAGCAACATTATTTTATAATAAATTGGATTCCTGATATTGACATAAATTGCAGTCTAATTGGGACTATTTTTCCTAGAAAAAGATTGAGAGTAAATGCTGGGAAATCCCCAAAACTATCAGGGGCAATTCTGCACTCACCTGTTGAAATAACAAGTAACCACTGCCCCAGCAATGACCATTTGCTGACAGGCAAGAATGAATTCACTAGTCCAGATAAGGCCAACGAAATGATACCATGCCATGTAGCAAATTCCAGACAGAGCTCTGTATTCTACTTGTCCTCCCGAAGTGGCCTGTGCAGTACCTGAAGTTGGGATTACACCACTGTGTTATTATAACATGTCAGACAAGAGAGGAGAGGAGAAAGGGGGACAGGGACAAAGAAGGACATGGAAGTGCTTCTGTGCATGTTCCCTTAACTTCTCTTCAGTAAAGTTACAAAAAAAATAAATTCAATGCTATTTAATTCTGTTCATTCTAACAAAGTTAGAAAAACAACATCTTATAATTCAACCTGGATTTTGAAAAATAAAATCTCAGAAAAAGCAAATGATTGTGTTTAAATTGGGATTGAGACACAGCTACCAATAAAGGAAAAAGGAAAGCTACTTATTCGTAAAGATATCTGAGAAGACATTACTCTAGACTTGAGTAATCAAATAGTTCAGAAGTAAATGAAACCTTCACTTCCATTATTCAAATTTGAAATAAATGCATAGTTATGAAATGCTTTAGGGTTTTTTTGTAAGAAGCAGGAGAGAAAGACTACAGAAAAATATTAAGGATACATAACATACTGTTGCAGCAAAACAAAACAAATACTTTATTGCTATTACTAATCAGAACCATGGCCATTAGTCTTCTGTTCTGTATACTTTGCAATCTTTGTGCAAAATACAGGCAGATACATGTAGGCTCTCTGGGAGGGAGGGGGAAGCAGACATGGTATGGTAGTACATGCTCCAATGCTACTACTGCATCTAGGAGCACGGATAAATTAACCTATCCAAGCTAAAAACATTCCTTCCACTTCTGTTACCAACAAAGAATGTATTTCATATTCATAGAAGGCCTTTCACAAAAGGGGGGGGTCAATTCAGATTCCTCAACAATCAGACCTTTTTTCTGTGCAATCCTGTTGGTGGCACTTGACTCTGAAGAGCAGTCAGGGGATAACGGCATTAAGACAATTTGACTGTAGTAAAAGGTCTCTAGGTTCCTAACATGCTATGTTTTTTTTTTTAATTTTATTTTACCAAGTCTTAAGTCTACTAACCTTAAAGAGAAACATGTTCACCAAATAAAACAATCTCTGGAGGCAAGTAGTTTCTTATTCCAACTCCAGGAAAGAAATTAAAAAGTGAGACAGAAGTGGCGATTACTGCTCAAATAGCAATATAACCTAAGCTTTAATACTTCATGTATTCATTGTGTGGACTTGGCAGTCCAGGTTTACAGCTGGACCTGATGATCTGAAAGGTTTTTTCCAAGCTAATTGATTCTATGATTCTGTGTTCTCTTACAGGACAATACACCACATTCAAGTTCAAAACCACCACATACACAAAGCTATCTAGGAAATGGTTCCTTTCTGGCCTGTTCTTCTACAGCCACAGACTTCTTATTCAAGAATAACTAGAAGTAGAAACAGTAAAGATTTGTTTCAGCAATACCATCAGCTTTAGACAAGCTTTTTTTAAGTTTTCAGAAGCAGCCTTTTAGTCTGTAAATAAAGAAAAATATCCATTTACCCCATAGTAGCACTGCAACATTATTTTAAAGTTCTTTGAAAGATTAAAAAAAATGCTACATGGGTACATAAATACAGATATATGTTCTAGATTTATTTTTTTTTTCTGAGAGGTTAACAATATTGGCTGAACAGGCAAGCTCTCTCCAGTGCTGTTTGGTTGGTCATTCAGGTCATTCATAGAAACAATGTAGTGCTTCCAATATATTCAAATGAATTTTAAGTCTGTGAAGTGCAAGATATTTGATGGTTTGAAAAAGCTACTACTCAGATCTCTTCTCACAAACTCTCCCTCATGCCTCCCCATCCTGTGCCTCACTGGTTTTAAGTTTGCAAAAGTGAGGGTTTTTTAAGGTGAGTTTTTGAGGATATAATAATTTACTTAAGTCATTAAAATGAGTGAGGCACCATATAATTATGAATTCAAGAGATTTTTCATTTCCCATATTTCTTCCAGAGGCTCTCAACTGCCTTTTCCTACTGCACACAACTAGCCAAATACACTCATTATCCACAGCCTACAGCCTTCACTAAGGGAACTCAGGCAAACAAGATGTCAGTGAGACACAAAGGTGTTCTGTCTCTCCATTTTCATGCAAAGACATTACATCATTTGGTAGCAGAATTAAGGACATTTTCCACCATACAATCCACCTGAACATTTCTTTTTCCAAAACAGACCTGTTCAGGCTTTGTTTCAGTACTGTTGTCATGAAGACTGATAAATGTTCATATGGCAAGCTAATCCTGTTTGCTTTTTACCAGCCTACTGAAATAACCACCTGCAGTAATAACAGTAATGGCTTTGTCTTTCCTGGACAACCTTGTACCTGTGCTCAGCTGCACAGAAATCAGGCAGAGCCATCTGTGACTTCACCTTTGATCACTTTGCTGATCAGGTAAGGTAAACTAGTTTTGTTATGTCACAAAAATCTGTTTAATGATATAAACATCTCTGTCCGATTTCCTGTTTTCTGGGCCTACCAGACATGCCTGATTTTGTCAGCAGAACTACAAGCAACCTATTTTTCTATATCAGTATCTCAGATAAACTTTAAAGCTGTCCTAGATAACCCGTCAAGAAAAGTGTATGCCATTTTCCTCACCACTGTACTATGATCTATCTGTTCATACAAACTAAACTGTTTCAATACAGCCCTGAAATACAGTTCAATCTGTCAACAGAATAGTTTTCTCCAAGGACACAATAATGAAACTTCCCAGGGTATCATACACTCTTAGCGATGACATTAACAACACAGTAAAGAACTGAACTCCCTACATCTGAACCACCAGATCTGGAAGCCTTTGATGAGTACAAGTGTTGATCTGCTGCCAATACTTCAAAAGAAGTGATGTTAACAAAGCAAACAGGCCAAGTGTTTCTAGCAGAAGGCAGGAGAATTTCCCCTGGGACTTGCAGCGCTGCCCTGGCAGCCAGCAGAGCCGGGCAATGGGACACCAGTCAGTGCTGGCTGTGTGTGGCACCTTCAGCTGCATTTTGGGACTGCCACACTTAGCTCAGATGTCCTTCTTCAGCAGCTGCTGCTCTGATGGCTTTGCTGATGCCTGCAGCAACAGGCTGCTGTAAGAGACAAAAAATTCCTGGGAAGTCTAGTCCAGCAATTTCCTTATCACAAACAAAGAGCCACTGACAAGAAAATACTGAGAGCCTGTTTATCAGTTCCTGTTAACATGAAAATATGCTGTGCCCCTCCCACTGTGAGGAAAGGTTCTAGAATCATACACTGAATCTTAGTGCTTCCTGCAACACAATCTATTGTGTTATCTTATTTTGTGCTTTTTCATGTAAAGGTATTTACAGGTAAGCTACCTGACTGTAATTGGAATGTCAAGGCCCCTGCAGGAAACACATTTTTATTGCTCATTTTGCTGTTGCACAGCTTTATGTGGCAGTTCTGCTGCGCACTTGCTTGCAGGATGCACCTTTATTACACAAAATAATCACACCACCTTCTCATCCTACATTCACAGTATTTACACCATGCAGACCTCACAGCTCCTGCACTCTGAAAAGCTGAAACACATTCTCTGCTGTGCCACATGGCTACTTCAGTTCTGCAGTGAAATACCCACAAATTAGCAAACAATAAAACTCAATAACCCTAAGACATATCAGCTTTTCCAAAGAACAGCTGAATTCCATTCCTAGCCAGCTAATGGTTCTAACTGGTGCCACTGTGCTACATAAAGTCTCATCAAGTCTTGGCATTTCTCCTAGTTTTCTAGGTCTGGAATTCACTCAGTCTCTGCTGCTCTTACAGATTCTGAATTACCAAGGTACTTAGGCAGGTGCCTACCCTAAAATGCATAAGTAGTCCCACTGATTTTAATAGGATTATCCATGTGTTTCAAATTAGTCATGTGCATAAGTACCTTCCAAGTGCAGGCTATAGCATTCTACGGCCCCCAGGAAGTTAGGACTTTTTTCTCACAGTAACACTAACTTTTGGAGGAGATGTAAATAAGGTGCCTGCATGGCCGCATAATGATCAGGTGTGCCACAGCTGAAGCAAGGATCAAGTGCTCCAGAACTGTTAAGATTCAGAGACACCATAAATATTATATAACTAGTGCAGATTCAAAGGAAATGTTAAGAACAGGTGCAGCACAGCAGCAAGCCAATTTAATTTACCCATCTCTCTGTATTAGACAAAAAGACTAGTGCCTTTGTAAACATTTCATTTTTTTCAGCTTTCTTGGTATATTTGCATTTAAAATACAGCCTGCACAGCCCCAGAAAACATATTTGTGAGAAGAAAATGTCAAAGCGTCAAACCCAAGAAAATCACCATCTGTATTTTACAAACTGAATCCTAGACAGGTAACTATTTGTCAGTGAAGAAAACAAATTGCTCTGTAAGAGAAAGCATATCTTTGGAGATCTTCAGAGATGTACTCTCAAGTGGTGCAAAAAGTCCCCAAAACTCAAAATAAAAAGAGACATCTTCCACTTACAGGACAACTGTAGAAAACTAATTAATAATACCAAGGTGTCCTGTCAGTGCATTATTAACCATACGGTTCTGTATGCATTTGTCATTACAGGATGTGTGTGTCTATCACCCCAGAAGAGAAGAACGACCCCCAGCTTATCTGATGGCGAGCTGCTTTAACAGGCAGCATTTCAGAGGTCTCATATTTGGGTTGAAAATTTGAGCGACAACCTAATGGAATATTCTCAACACCAGATCTCGTTTAGCGCTCGTCCTCCAAGATTTGAATCAAAAAGCACATCTGAGGTAAAGGGACTGGAAATCCCAACAGCAATCCTGCTGACACGGAGCTGTCCGTGCGCTCTGCCCGAGGGCCGCCTCAGCCGCTGCACTGGCCGCGTCTCGGGACGGCCCGGCTCAGCCGCTGTGTCCCGGAGCACGGCGGGCTCGGGGGCAGCGCTGGCCATTCCCCGGGGCACGGCGGGGCCCAGGCACGCCGCCAGCCCTGCCCGGAGGCCGGCGGGCCGAGCCGCCCTTTGTCCCCCCGCTTCTCCGGAGCCGCTCCCCGTTGGGCGGGCCTGAGGCGCTCCCCGCGGGCTGCGGCGCCCCCTGGCGGGCGCGGGCGCTGCTGCGGCGGGCACAGGCAGGGTCCGGCAGCCCCGAAGTGCCCCCACGGACACGGCCGGACACACAGCGCCCAACCCACCCGGGACACAGCCCGCACACAGCGGCGCCTTCCCACCTGCCTTCATGCTCGGGTTGTAGCTGAGACGTGATCCGGGTTATTTATAAAATATACACGTGCACTGCTAGACATCAACATGCTTCTAACAGGAAGATCTTACAAGGACTGACATCTGCACTAAAAATACCCAGCCAGAACACCTCTGTCAAAACCTATGTTTTACTAGGTTGCTCATAAAAGCAATACATATACCTTCCCTTCTTATGCGAAATCTGAGAAAAGTAATTTCTTTCAAAACTGAAACTTTATCATCACTCTGCTGTGCAGTAAGTTTGTACTGTCCTCTGTACTGTTTGCATCACTTGCTGAAAAGATCAGCATTCCTTTCAAGTTAGAAAGAAGACAAAACATAAAGTACCTTTGAGCTGCGCTATGATTGTAACAGCAGGTAAAAAAATTTTAAAAAATTAAAGAATTAAAAAATAAAATAAAATAAAATAACTCAGCTGTGTAACAACGCTAGCCCACATTTTGTGCGCCAACACCAAGAGGTCCCACATTAAAGAAGATAATTTAGGAAATGGCTAACACTCAGTCAGAAACATGAAAAGCATATGCTTACCTGCAGTTCCTAAGCTAAGCAGTACAGCAACCCAAAATACCCAGAACACAATGAGAATCAGAAAAGTCCAGAGTGGCTGGAACAGGAGGAAAGGAATTCTGCCAATGATTTTGCCAACAATTCTAAAGAGCTGAACAGAGAAAGGAAGCCTTTTTCTTAGTACAAATATAAGGGTGAGCAGAACAACCTGTTTCAGGAAAGAAAAAGATAAATTGTTAGGGGTTTGTCAAGAAAATTATCAGAGTTGTCAAATGTGAGATCAGAGGATACAGATTTCACAAAGACATGACAACAAAGCAATTTATACAATCTTACTACACATTAGAAAGTCCTTTCAAGACATTTCCTATGTTCTCAAAGAGCCTGTGGATTGAAATTTATTTTCCTACAATAGTCACTGCTGGTTTTTTTACAAAATAGTATCCATAAGACTTTAATTGATCTAATGGAAGCTGTCTGTTTTGCTTTATAGCAAACATAAATGTACATTATACACCACACATTGCTTTCACATATCCTGTATGTCATGAATTTTTAAACTTTCTACTCAGGTCAGCTTGCCACTGTTCACTTTCACAATGGTAGGAGAACCAGTCCTTCCCTGCAGTCCACAACCCAACTAGTTTCTGAGCTATGTATGTATAGGAGCAAAGCAGACATAAAATGAAAACTTATTTAAATAAATTATTGTCTTCGCAAAGTAAAAAACCCAACCCACCAACAACAAAACCCTGAGTCAAAATCCCACAAAATCCCCAATTCTTTGTATGTGACAAGAAACTATGACCAGCAATTAAAAGGGAGGCTGGAATCTTTAAAGCAATAAACACAACCAGTGGCAGCTCCTTCACTAGTTTTCTTGCCTGCTCTGGAAAGAAGCTACCAGCTCTGAACTGAAGCATAACCTGCAGTAGTGGCTGTTCCCACAGCTCTGCAAACAACAGCCAGTTGTACTGGACCATACTAGCATTCAAAGAAACTTTTTCTTACCTTTTTAGTATCAGCAGATGTAAAAAGGTCATAACTTATAGAGGATATTAAAAAAAATCTGGTTTGTGACACATTTGTATTTGTCAATGTAAACTGTCAGACTGCTCATATCTGGCAAATTCCATATGGATCTCACTTATCTCTAAGACAACAGGACAATTGCTTTGACAAATGTCTCATGAAGTATAAATTGACTGTACCCTCAAACTGAGAAATGGCTCCTTTTAACATTGCAACATCAGAGTGAAAAATCTCTCTTCAGAAGTTGCAAACCACTCAGATTTTCTATTGTAAAACAAGGTCATTGAGAGAAAAACAGAATTTAACCCCATAACTTGAGGTCTAGACAATGCTGCCTGCGTTTCACTGCCCCTTTCATTGTCTCAAAGAGCTACCACCCCTTTCTCCTGCTGACAGGATGGGATGAATCCACAGATCTCATGTCCATACTCAGCCAGTGCCCTGTGCATATTCAACATGATTCTCCAGTGAGCTGATGCAGCACAAAATGGGCATGGAACACAATTCTGACATTTTTACACCAACAACACTGACACAGTTTGTACAGGTTTGAAGTATGGCAAGGCTGAAAAACAAGTTTCACAATGAATATATAAAATTATTTTTGTAGTTTTGATGGGGGCCTAAAAATCTATTTCGAACTAGGGATCTTTAAGTCCCTTCCAACCCAAATAATTCTGTTATTTTATGATTATATGTGAATGAATGTAAGAAGATCTTAGAATTTACTCCCATTTTCCAATTTGAAAATAATTAGGAATTATTTTTATTGTTGCAGAACCCCTGTAGTTCAATTTTCAAGTTACAGCCTCTGCCATTGCTTAGGGCAAAATGCTACTTACAGTGATGATTGTTGACAAGATGGCATATCCAAGTAGGAATTTGACATTTTCCTTTTCTGTTTCCAGTTCAGTGCTGGGGTCATTCCTGTAGTCGTAATGGAGCCACAAGAGCACACCTGACACAACTGAGCAGAGCAGAGCAGCGTGAGGGCGGGCAGGGCACGCTGCTGCCGGCAGGATGGAGCCTGCCCACCCTCCCTTCCCAGTGTCCTCCCTCCCACCGTCCCCCAGGGCTCGGGAATACTGCCAGCCACCAAAGAGAGCCACAGGACCAGTGGGCACAGAGAAACTTCCAGTAATGGCCTGTCAGACTGAGGTAAAACCGCAGCAGAACATTTGGATTTCTTGCATTATCCCAAAGCTCAGGCATGTAATTTCATTGTGGAGATCCAAAGCCAACTTTCATGGAATGACAAGCTTTAGCCAGACACATTCCTATGGTTCAGTACAAGAGTTCACTAAGCATTCTTTGAAACAGTAGCATTTTCATAACTGCATTCTGCCAAAAGAAATGTTGTTCCTAGGCATCTATAAAAACAATAAACATCACCATCATCCCAACACTCAGCAGCTGGAACAGCACAGCCAGACCTTGGCACCAAAAGGCCTCAGCTTGGAAATGACTGTGGTAAGCTGAAGGTTACTGAGGATGGCCATGGAAATAAAGGATAGCTGTTTGTTCAGCTGCTAATCCTTCAGTACAGTAAAACAGTAAGTATACTTACACAACAACCCAAACACAACCAGTGCAATCAGAGTATGGATGAAGAGGGTCTGAATGAATCTGAAGGCTAAAACCAGTATCAAAGAGAAGGCTGAAAAATACATAAAGTTTGACTGTTACAGCCCTTTTCATTTTAAATATAAATTTAAGGTTCTTGTAGAATTTTAGCTTTTATTTTTAGACAGCAATCTTAATAGCAACAGCATTTAATAAAGCTGGCAACCTTTTTAACATTTAAAGCACACAGTTACCTCTAACTTAAATAATAAGAAACTTATAGCTGATATATTTCACCCTGGGAAATACTAGCTTTTTAATAACATCTTATGTAAGAGTTAAGTTCAAGTATTCATGCTGATGTAATCTTTTTCTTCAACAATTTCTTACAGTCCTCCAAAATGAGGTATTTAACCATGTCATGGACCACAGAATCTGATAGAGATCTGCATTTCACCAGTCTATTAAATGTCTCCTGATAAAATCTGATCACTCTTCCTTAAAAAATAACTCTGCCCAGAAAATATGAAAAAAGTCTTCTTTTGAATTAAACATATAGACTTACAAGAAACACTTTAACCTTTTAATTGAATATCATTATCCACTTTTTACTTATAACCTTACCTAGTGCAAGGACACTCAGTCCTATCACAGTATCTCTTCCTGCCAATATTCCACTCAGAATTCGGTGAAAAACATCCATTTCATTAACCATACTTATGAGGACAGATGCATATTTGGAATAGCATTCAGGATTTTGTGGAACACAGCGATTAAATAATGGAAAGGATTTACTGAAAGGTTGAAAACAAAAGTGGTAAAAAATATTAATTACTGGACAAACAGTTTAAAATCCACAGAGATCCATCCTGCCATTCTCTACAGAGAGCATTCTGTTATAAAGAGTAGTTTTATGTATAATCTGCAGAATAAACTCCTTAACAGTGTCATTCCTGTATCACTATACCAGAACAGATCCATTCAAGACCAGCCTGAGGAAAGAAATTAACAACTCTCTCATTAACTATCACCCATCAGCACATAGCTCCTATTCCCATTCTAGTCTGGCTTCACCTGCTTTGCTCCCATGTATCTATGTAAAAATAAAGTTCATGCTAACATAGCTGCAACCTATGCTGTTGTAGATAATTCTAGATCAAAACCACTTTGTATTGCTTTTATGATATTTAAGCATTCTAAAACCACACCAAAACAATGTTTGCAAGGTACAATTAATGGCACCAATTATTTATACAAAATTATTTGGCACTCCCAGCCAAGCTTCTTGCATAAATTTATTGTCCCACTTTGGCAGCGCTGCCCTACAACAGCCAATGACAAAATCATACCTGAGGAGGAGAGGTTTTGTTATCAACAGCTAAAAAATTTACTAACTAGCTTTGCTTCTACCATGTAATATTTTTGTGCAAGATGAATAACTTTGCTGACTTCCTTGGCAAACCAAAAAAAGGCCTAGAAATTTGAGGAAATAAGTGAAACATGCCATATTTTTTCATCAATTTACACGTTGTCCTTTGATCCACTATATGTAATGTTTTTACATGTCTCCTGCTCTCTTCATTTTGTTCTATTTTCTGCTGTTCAGAGCAGATGAATTAGCTCTGCAAACACAGAGATTCCAATTCTCTGCTGTATTTTCATGACATAGCGGAACTTAAAATCACAGGTTTAAGAATTTTGACTCACAAATGCCAGATTTGACAAAGACAGCAACATCCACATATCTGTGCTTCAAGCCATCTGGCTATAAAATTATTCTGATGGAAATTTCTGGGCTCAGGAGAAGAAGCAAGGCCAAAGACCACATCCTTGGCATTGAGGGAGAAAGCAAAATCTGTGCAGGAGCTAAGCTGTTCCTCATATGGAGTGCTTTTTCCTAATTTGGAAAAGGAAGAGGAATGGAAGGGTAGAGGAATAAAGGGTAGAGGAATGGAAGGAATGCAGTCCTTGTTTGTTCTGTGGGACAGGACTCTGGCATATTCACAGGCACATAAAAGAACTTGTAAGGATACACAGACAAAAAAATAAATAAACAAAGCAAAACCATCCTGACTGTGAAGCAAATACAAAATGTGAGAAAATAACAATCCATAAGAAGTTGTTTGGACTAAAGGAGGTTGTAAAGTACTCAGTCATGCTTACCTTGGTGGAACTGGCAGTGTGGGACACAGCTGAGCTGCTTTTGGATTTACTGTGTAACTGGAAACATTCAGGCTGTAAACACAAAGGAAAGAATCTAGAAAAAAAAAAAAAAAGGAAACCAGAGAGAGAAAAAAGTAACTTAAGATTAGTAAAAATTTGAGAGAAAAAAACCACATTAACAGATAAGTTTTGTTGCACTTCTGGTTTGATCCCTTAGCAGTCCATTTTCATCCCGGATATTCCACCGGGAATATGAATAGCAAATTAAATAGTTGAGTAAATATAAACCAATCTCTGCAGGATCTTTTGCCTTCTCAACTTAACCACAGTCACCACTTATGTTCCTGGAGGGCAGGCACACTGTTTGCTCCACAGTGCCATTAATCCTTGCTCACTAGGACTAGAGAAAAACCTGAAATGATGGAAGCTACAATAGAACCAGGCCCTCCTGAGTTAGAATAGAATACATCTGTATCCAGAAGCCTAACTTGTGCTGGCATCTAGGTGAAATATTTCCAGGTTCTCTGCTCCATTAGACAGCACTCCTGGGAAAGAAAGGCTGGGCAATTCAAGCCATTCAAAATGCAAGACTTCTCTCTGCCTTGACAAAAATATGCAAGCAGTTTGAACTGGAATTTGATGCAATTATGTTTAGTTAGACTGAAAATACTTATATAATCTCACAGGTGTTTACAGCTTCTGTAGATACAAAATTATGTCAAACTACTCCAGAATTAAATTAAAACAAACATTGTCAATTTAAATAGCAATCTCTGCCAAATAGAACAGCACAACAAAAAAAATAATGGGATACTGACCTCCAACAATAACAGCCATTAATATTCATATGGTCTGAAGTTTATATACACCCCATGAAATAAGGCTTAGGCTACAGATTATTTTATTTACATGTTGGACATGAATAAACTGGAGCCTCTTTCACATAGCAGCTATTTCTGACAGCATTTTCATCTTGAACAGCAGAATCAAATAAAATTTCAAGGTGTGTCCTGGATTTGCTAGGAAGTGAGGGGCTGTGTGGTACTTAGTTTCCAGCAGGGGTTAAACTACAACAAAATGCAATAGCAAACATAGGGATCTGAAGTCTAGAGGGATAAATCCACTTGTGTCTTCATGGAATTAATAATTCCACCACAGTTTTAATTACATTTAAAGGAACCAGTTGGACCAGAGTCACAAACAGCATATGAACTCTGGTCACTTACTGGCACCCCCACCAAACTTCACTAGTTCATTATCAACAGTCAGTTTTCTGTTACATAATCTCAGTCCTGTGCAGGAGTTAATGAACAACTTTCTAATTTGCATAAGAGAGCTGTAACATTTCTAGAAACTATGGGTTTGAAATAAAGCAGAAACAAGACATATTATTTTCTGCTATCATGAACTGTTCAGGAAATTAATGGTAAGACATGACTCCCTAGTGTAAGGGCCATAACAAAAACAAAGTGGAAGCTGCTCAACTGTTCTACAGACACACTGAGGTACTCATATTCCCTGTGGCACACCATTATTCCTTGCAAAACTCTGTAGATCTTCCAAAGAGTTGAGTTGCTGTTGTGGACAACTTGACACGCACAAGGAAAGTGAACTGATTTTGGGGCTTTGTATTTCCAGGCTGCATGAATTCAGAAAGAACACATACCTAGAAAGAAAAAAGATCCTCTTCTCAAAAAACAAGCTTTCTTGGTTTTTCATAAATTTAAATTCTGAACCTTCTTTTTAAAGTGGTACAAAGCAAGTGAAAGTTTTTCCAAAGGAGTCAGTGGAATGATTGGGAATGTCAATGTGCAACATCCTTAAGTAGAAAGATTTGCCTTATAGAATGACTGTCTGGCTGATGTCCCATTTAAGATCCTCTTTAAGAAGGCAGCTGCATAAAGCATAACAAGGCAGCAAATTTTTGAATTCTACCTTAACTTTTTAATTTCAATCACTCTTCTGCACTACTCCCACCTTTTTTGCCTTTCAATACAACAGTGTATAGTTACACAGATGTATATGACTGACAACTAGAAGATGTGTATTTTACTAAGTTCTCAAACATTTATACATTATCTGATGCACTTACTTTTTATTAGTCATGTCCAATCCAGAAAGATTTGCCCCTTCTACAGGAGTGTTCTTCCGACCACATATGTTCCCAAAGCTGTCATATCCAAGCACAAGTCTTTCTGCAGCACCAGCCACCACAGCATAGCCACTTATAAACATCTGTTAAAATATTTTTTTAAATACGAAAGCATGCTACGGTAGCTTTTCCTTCCTATTCAATAAATATTCCTTTTAGGTCATGCATTTTTGCCTTCCAGTTGCAAACAGTTAAATCTAAAATTCACCTCTCTGCACAAAGGCAGAGCAAGTCACATGGGCAACTTTAGCCCTAATGCTTCCTTAGAGCTTTCCCTCATCTGTTGTTGAAAGTATATAAATTAAGCAGAATAACACAGGAGAAGGAAGACAGAGGTCCGGATTAAAATAAGAGAAAAGCATTACTAAGGTGCTGAACACTGTCCCTAGTGATGTTCATGTGTGTCACTAGGCAAGATCACTCAAATGGTGATTTTTCATGTGCTCACTGCATCTCATATTACAGGGTGACCTTCAAGACACACTTGGACAATAGAACTGCTGCCATGATGGGCCCTTGAAGCTGCTAGTGAATGTAATCAGAAGTATTTTTAAACACAAAATATATTTAAAATGGAAATTACCTGAAATTTCAGGAAGGAACATCTTTAACACATGTGAAAAACCTGTAGAAAGCCACACTGTGCAGTGTCACTTAGGTGACACTGCCCTGACCTTTTAGTTGTTCTGCTGCCAGATCACAGTTCCAGTAGATCATCTTCTTGCAAACCCCAGAGGTAGTTAAGTACCTCTGCTGGACAAGTAGCAGCAATTCTCAGTCCAAATGAAACACCTTGTCCAGGAATGCACCTTAAACCCTCCTGTACATTGTGAGGACCAAAACAACCCCTGGAAAGAACCTTTCCAAGTGCCAAGAAGCAGCAACTCTTGTGTGAAACTGGTGAAGTCCTGAGTACTGCTTTACCCAAGGCTTATCTCTCCATCACTCCAGCCACTGAAGAACTCAGTGATGCAAACCTCTCCTCTGTCCCATGGGGTGCAAGTCACATTTCACACACAGCAAGGACAATCACTAAGCTCTGTGGCTATGTGCCAACTGCTGGCTGCAGCAAAGCTCCCAGTCCCACATTAACCACTGCTGCTTTGAGTGAGTACAGCTGAATATTGGCTGTGCTCGAGACAGATTGCACAGACCAGCACAACTGCCTTCTAACTTCAGCTTTACAGCCTTTTTCTGTGCTTCTACTTTTAGTACTTGTGACTAAAGATTGGATCTGGGCAAAAACACGTCTCATACACAAACATGTACAAATGTGCTTCTTTAGTTCTGAGAGCAATCTCATTTTTGCTTACAGCAGACTCTTATTTAGATTTGTCCTTCCAGGAAACAAACAAACTGCGCACGCTTACCAAACCAGCCCAGAAAAGACAGAAGAGGAGCAGCCAGAGAATGTCCGTACACTTTCTGTAAACGGCTGGTCTCCATTCCGGTAGCTCAGAAACACTATCTCCAGAGTCCTAAAGAGAAACAAAAAAAGTTCAAGAAAAGAACAGAACAAACTTCCCGTGAAATTAACTCAAGTTGCAGAGGGCGGAGATTTCAGCAAGCGCGTAACTTCGCCCCCTCAGTGCGGAACACCTGGCAGCCCTGTGGCGTGGCGAGGCGCGCTGTCTT